AAAGACAGTATTTGCGTGAAAATTAAAATGGTTCAAAAAAGACAACTTCCAAGTAATGCTTAACAACAGCAACAACAACAACAAAAATGTCCAAAAGAGAAAAATGTTTTGCAACTCTACACCTCCAGGAGGCTTTACTTCATATAGTACCATGTAAAATACGTCTTCTGTGCAACACCCTCGCTCCTTCTATTTCAAATAGTTAAACACATTTTCTCCTCAAGGTCTCATGAGCTGTTAGAAAGGACCTGCCAAATAAGCCACTGCCCATTTATCTTGTGGGTCATGAAAGTTTAAACTGTCTTCCCTTAATCATCAGTAATCATCTTACCTAGTCCTCATTTTACATGAGCTTTTCTAAAATATTTCATAATCCATTTACTTGGCACTTCTGGAAAGTTTCTTTTTGCCACTCTCTCCCTAACAAAGACCTTTTTCCATTTAGTATCTGAATCCATTTTCCTTGGTCCTCTTCTCATCATACCTCTCCAGCTTTTCACTGGTTTCTTTCCAAGTATTACCTATAATACTGAAATTTTAATATCCTTTGTGGAATATCTGTATTTTCAATATTTTCCTTCTGCAATGATCCTTTCCACACTCAAGCCTTGAAATATCATATATTTATCAAGTACCACCACCACCTTTATTGCCCAGTTCTCTTAAACTACTCATCCATTCACTAATTTTTACATTAGAACTCTTCGTATGAATGGTCATTGTTACTTCAAGTTCAATATCTCCGGCTTACATTGATATTGTTCTTCCTCAACCTTAATAAGCCTGATCTTTCTTCTTTTACATGTTTTGTCTAAATAAACTTAGGGCTGATATGTTGGAGACTTGGGTATAGGGTATCCTACTCACTGATCCTGGGCTAACACTTCTGCAATGTGACACCAAGCCTTCTTACCCCTTTCACTTTAACTTCTACGGTCCTTGTTCAGTTCCCCTTTGTGTCTCAACAATAGCAACAAAAATTGGGCTGTCCAATTTGATTCACTTTCCTCTGTTCTGTGCAACAAATGCCAATCTTCTCAAAATTTCAGTGGCTTTCACGTGGTCATAGGTTAAACTCCAACATCTTTACTATATTTTAAAGATTTTCTCACAACATGGCCCAAGTCACTACATTTGTCCTAAATGTTGCCATTCCCACTAAACCCCCAGCACTAGTGCTGCAGAACATCGCAGGAAGTTCCAATACCTATCAGTGCTGCTAGGCCTTTTCATTTTTACATCCCTTCCCCCGTCTGCTTGGAATAGTCTTCCATACTTCCCTTTGTAAAAATTCAACTCATCCTTCAAGGCTCAGTAAAACTATTAGCTTCTCTTTAAAATTCTCCACAGATTCATTTATCAGCTACAGAACTTTCCTGCTGTTGTGGCATTTTATTTATTTACAAAGTACGGCATCATGCAGCTGTTTATATATCTTTTCCACAGCTGTTTATATATCTTTTCCAGTTGTGAGTTGATTGAGGTCAGGAATAATATCCTTTACTACAGTGACAGTGTATATGAAATCTTCTGTAAGTTTTTTGTGAGTTAATAAAGTTTTTATACAGTATATCTTGGGTATTGTATGTCAAATATCATAAACCATGCTGTTGTTGTTAATTGCCTTCAAGTCAAGCACAACTCATAGAGAGCCTATGAACAAAAGGCCTGAAGCCTCTCTTCAATTATTGACATAGGTAACGTGTATTATG